CCCCTCCCCAACCACCACCACACACATACACACGCACTCATCTTTGACCTGGGAGGAGCGCTTGCGTCATCCTCTTCTGTGGGCCAGAGAGGTGGGCACTCATTTCAGCGACCAATCAAAGCACATGTTGATGAGTTACCACGGTGATTTAATTCAACAACATTCTAACCACAGCGACACTCGACGGCAGCATGCAACAACTACAGTGCAACCACAACCGGGACCAGGACCGGAACCACTCGTGGCCGCTTCATCTAACACATGAAAACAAGCAACAAGGACACTTGGTACCGACATCGAAAATTTCCAAAAGAACAACAACAAAAAAAGTGGATGAAAAATCTTTAAATTATCACCTTGACAAAACATGGAAAAACAAATTTTCCGGAAACCTGTTGCAGTTTGGACCTGAAGACCGGAAAATGTAGAAAAACCAAAGCGGCGTGTGTTCATGTGGCATGACAAGAAAGTTGATGAGAGCACCCCCTGGAGCACGTCAGCTGCATCACTCGTGTCCCCCAACGAATCACGGTGCCTTCTAGCAGCCGCTGGCACTCGTGAATTCCGAAAGCGTGGGGGGGAAGCCTTACAAAGTTTGAAAAATGTCCACATTGTGAGCTACAAACATTCTAAATGAGACTCCCAAAAATGCGCCACTTCTTTCAAAATGTAAACAAAAGCTAAGAGGCTTGAGCTCACGAGCTAACCAGAAAACGAAAAGTTCATCGGCTCATTCCAGTGTCTGAGCTCGTCTGCGCTTGCCTCTTTGAAAAAAAAAATTCAGCAACAGGAAACAAAAGTTTCCAGAAGGAAAATCAAAGAATCTTTTTTTTTAAATAGAAAAAAAAAAGATACTATAAATTAAAAAAAGCAAACCCAAAAAACTAAGGCCCCTTAGGAATTTAAAGTATCGGACGAGGAAAAAAAAGAGGCACCACAAGTGGAGTTATCAAAAGTGTCCGTGGAAAAAGTGGATCAAGTGGAAAAAAGGAGCGAGCGAGAACTGATCGCTAGGCTATGCGATGCTACATCATCCTGGACGACGTTCCAGACGGGAAGTGACCCAGATGTTGTTTCTGCCGCCTCCCTCGCTTGGCCTTGTTGCACCTCCTGCAGGACACACATGCAAAGTGCATGTTAAACCCACTTGATGTTTTTCATTTCTGGACATTTGCACGCATGGCTACCACTGGTTTTACAAGTTAGTTAAGCACGGTGAAGTTGAGGCGTGTGCGTGCACGTGCCTGGTGAAGCACATGACGAGGGCCACGATGATGGCGATCTGGACGGCGCCGATGATGCCAGCAATCAGGACGTAATGCAGCTTCTGGCCACTAGGGACCACGTAGAGGATGTTGAAATCCATCAGCTGGTCACAGCGAGGACCGCCATAGGACGCCGAGCACCTGGAATATGTAACGCAACGTGGGCGTAATGTCATTTGTTCGGAAGTGGATCGTGTGACACAATTACAGTACATGCGGCATACATTTAAATGGATGTCACGTGACACGATTTCACGCGGGACACGTTAGATGCGTTAACATTGGGGTCACGCGACATAATTACCTGTGCGTGACATGTTCAAAAAAGGAATTGTATGTTGGGATGCGATGATGCATCTTACCTGCACATTGCCTGGTTGCTCCTCATCTCACATTGGCCGTGGACGCAAATGAGGGCGTGGTCCGGGGGGCAGGCGCCGGAGCCTTCTGCCAAACCTTCCCCCTCACCTGACTTGCCTGTGGCAAGAATTAGAGCAACTTGATGATGCCGATGGCGATGGTGATGATGATGATGGAAAACAAAAAGCAGGAAGACGTACCAAAGATGTCTGTTTTCGTCTTGACGCTGTCATCCTTCCTGCTTCTGTCTGAAAGGCACAAGAAGAAGAGGAAGACGATAGCGCTTACGAGAATCTGCAGAGAGCCAAAGCAAGCCGCCCAACAATGTGGAGAGAGGCTGAGGTTGACGTCGGTATTTTCTTCTTTCACTGCATACACACTCACAAACACACACACACACACACACAATGATCATGGCACACACCGAACGTGTGTCGGGTGCGACGTTACCTTGGCAACGTCCCACGTGCCGGATGTCGATCTTCATCTGTTTGAGGCAGGACGCCTCGCGGACGTGACATGGCGTCTCGTACGTCACACTGTCGCTGCCGCACACCGGGTTGTCATTGTGGCCATTGCACACAATGTTACACATGCAGCTGTGCACACACACACGCACGAGTCGATCAACGAGTCAAACGCGAGTGAGAGTGTGTGTGTGTGTGTGTGCGTGCGTGCGCACTAACAGCATGTCCTCGGAGTCTTCATCACACTCGGCACCAAACTTGCAGTTTTCACATTTGGACGTCTTTTTGCCGTGGCTGCTGCCAGAACCATTATCATCTGCACGTGCACACACACACGCGAGTTGTCATCTTCTTGTATATTGTGTATATGTGAGAGAGAGATACATGCACACACGGTGTGTCGCCGTGTGTGTGCGTGGAGACAAGTGTGTGATGTTAGGATAATTGAGTGCTCATGTACCTCCATTTCCAGATCCCGAAGCTCCATCTGCTAGTCGGACAGAGGCAACCAATGAGCCGGAGACAGGCTTACTCACATGCGTGGACATGCGTGTGTGCGTGTTACCATGGTCACAGGCTCCCTCGGCCACGATGCTGATGGCTCGCTGCTTCTTGCAGGCGGCCCGCCGCAGGAAGCACTCGTTCTGGTAGGTGTCTCCATTCGAGGCGCACACAGGGAGGAACTTCTTGTGGCACTGAAAGACGGCACGCGCACGCTCGGTTGCCCGCACAGCCAAACAACCCAAAGGTTTCGGGCAAGCGCACTAACCTGGAAGTGACACACACACTTGATGTCGGCGCCGTTTTCGCGGCACGTCCCACCAAAACGACACGTGCCTGCGTCGCACACCCGCAGGTCGCTCTTCTTCAACGACGCATCTGTCAAAAAGAATACACGAACAAGTCGTCAAACAGTCGCTCCGGCCACAGATGTGTGTGTGTGTGGATATGATTGGCTTGTGACCTCAATAGCCTTGTGATGACCCGATGTGCACCGGAAGTGAGCAAAGACTACAGGAAGTGAGTGAAAGTCATTAGATATATTTTTTTCTGTTTTCTTGTAGTCAATAAGTTAAAAAAGTTTTTTGTTGTTGTTCAGATGTCAGGTGGCTGCCACCAAAGTTCTTCAACCACCACCATGATGGGTGTTGTCTCCTCACAACATCTGCATGAGGCTGCGCCTTGTCACGTGAGTAATGCGTCTTTTACACAAACACTCACAGAAATCCTCTCGCTTCACACACACACTCTCTCACACACACACACACACACATAGCCTCGCCCTGCATGTGGAGCTTGTAATTATCTTGAAAATAGCAAGCGGCAAAACAACATGGCTGACCTTCAAAATTCATGGTCGTCATGACGACCCAAACCCAGGTGACCCCTGGTCACCTGAACGTCTTCGTACGTGACCGAGTTTGCGTCTCAGATTTAATATGTGCGCGGGTCGGCATTTATAGATGCGTGTGCGCGCGTCACCTGGACACTCGGCGTTTTTTCCCGGTCCACATTCGAGCGCGGCTCCTCCTCCTCGAGGAGTCGCGCTCGTGGCGGAGGGAAGGAGCAGCAGCAGGAGGACGAGAAACAGGACGGACGACGAAGATGAAGACGAAGCTGGGGAGGGCATGATGGACGAGCACGAGATGACGTCAGAAGAGAAGAGCAGGAAAATCACGCGCTTTTGTTGCCAGAGCGCCAGCAGGAGAGCAAAGATGGCCTTCAACGCCTCATGTCGCCGCCGACGAAGAGGAGGAGGAACGCGAGCACAAAGCAGAGCCGACGGCGGATTGCGGCGACCCCCTCACAACCCGGACTGAGCCTCCATCCCCCACAAGGCCAAACATCCAAACGAACTTGGGCTTCCACGTCCTCTTCGTCTGGTTCGTCTGGCTCTGACACTCAATTGCAAGCTTTCTTTTTTTCTATTTTTTTCTTTCTTTTTTTTTTTTTTGCGTCTTATCGTGGTCGTCTTTCTTCGCCGGACGGGGCTCATCAACAAAGGGCCGACTGGCTCACGTGACCAGCCCAAGACCCCGCCCATTGTTCCCGGAGAAACAAACCGCGTGGTGACGTCACTGCGTTGCTGCGCTCCGGGTGTCCCGTGCATACGTCACGGCTCACATTTTACTACGCGCGATACTTTAGATCGATAGCAATACAAAAGTATCGCTACAATTGATATACTTTACGTCTTTCATAGAAAGGGGGCATTTAAGAAGAGGTTAAAGGTTGCTTTGAAATCCAAGATATTTTTACTTATGCAGAATTTCCCGAACAAAACATTATCTAATAAAGCAAGAAATCATCAAAAATGTTTCATGCTGACAGGGACTTTTTGAAAAATGTGGCAAAAAAAAAAAAAAAAAAAAACTCCCTGATGCTGTCGAAGCGTGTTATTGTTCAGTTATCCGGCAGAGGGCGCTCGCTCACCGCATTCAACTTGACTCCAATCCATTGTCAAAAGGAAAGTACTCTAACCGTCGTCGACTCATGTTGAACATCATTTAGAGCACTGTTATTCACATTTGACTGCTGCAGTCGTGATGGATGGAAAAAAGGAGCAAGTTTAGTAATCATCATCCTCATCTTCATCAATTCTCTCAAAGTGCTGGGAAAAAGTTTCCAGATGTGTTGTGCAAACTTGACCGAACACGAACGCCGGCATTAAAATGAGCAATTTTCACACAACAGTCAGTCAAAGACGCCTCAGGACGTTCAGCATTCCCACCATTGGCAATATTGATCCGCACGCATAGTCGCTCCCGATGAAGATTATCAAGATTTGCTTGGAGATTGCAAGCTCGAAGCGTCTTTTGCATCAAGCCGGCTGGGCTCATTAGACAACTCCCTCATCTTCGTCATCTTCATCACCTCGCCTTCTCATCTTCCTCACAAACCAAGAAGGAATTTTCTTCTTTTTCATGATTGTTTTTGAACCCATTTTCATCACGCTCAGCTTCATTGGCTTGAGCTAGAGACAAGTGAACCGGACTGGTCGCCAGCCATTGCAAAGGCATGGAAAGACAAACAGTTGACTGGCCGCCAGGCAATTGCAGGACACACTAGCCCCCTCTCCACTGCAGAAACCCTTTGAAGAACTTTTTTTTTTTCAATTTGCCGTGGTAAATTGAATTGGCCCTTTGTTTCCACTCAAAACGATTTACCAAGGCCAAGAAATTACCCGGGGATCGACATTTGATGGATTGGTCGCCAGTCAATCTCAGGGTTTACATAAGAAAGAATGGGCTAGTCAGTAAGTCACAGGATGAGTCCAATATTTTTGTCCAAACAATATTCATCGACTCTCGCCCCGATCACGCACACACAAGGGAAAAAAATGTTTCAAGAAAAAAAAACTGGCCCGTCGTTAAAAATGACATATAGCATGGAATAGCATGGTGATGCCGTTAGCATTTAGCATCCAAGCAGTGACAGCTAGAAGTGTTTTTCTAATACGTGTCTTGCATGACATTCCACTTATGAAAGGAAGCCAGGTGTCAATCAAAACACACACACATTCACACACACCCACTGTGAGAAAATGAGCGAGAGAGGGCGGGGGGGGGGGGGGGTGCGCGCACGTAGGTGAGTGCGCGCGTGCAGGTTTTCACACAGTGGTTGTCGGACAAGAAGAAGTTCCTGGCTGGTCCGCGTCCGTCGTCGTTGGGTTGCGCGGGTCCACGTTGGTGGAAGTGCGGGTCCAGGGAAGGCTTTTAGCGGAAGCGAAGGCGCGCGCTTGCACGTGAAGATGTGCGGAGGCGCGGCGGACTTTTTGCTACTTGCTGGCGTTCGTCCTTTTTCCCTTTTGCTTCTTATTGTGGTTTTGCTGCCGGACGCCCGCTGCACGCCAACCGACAGGAAAGGTAACGACGAGCAGCCGCTCACGTCACCTTACGTTACTTCACGTTACTTTCGAAGTTGAACATGCACACACGGGTTTGACAAGTTCAACAACTGTCTCCAAATCATTGGCGTCATCATCGAGTACCTTGACGGACGTGAACAATTCCAAAAAGGCAAACATCTCTTGCCCATGATGATGAGTTCTTCGGATTTTTGCCAAAACTGCAATAACATGACGTGTGTGTGTGTGTGTGTGTGTTTGCGTGTGTGTGTTTGCGTGCGTGCTTGGCGCGTAACTCAGCTGACCAAAATATTAGGAACCGCTGCCATTCATCAGAAAATATTTGTCATTAAGTGAGCGTGAGCTCAACAGTACCCAAAACACAAAGCATTGGATGGTTTTCTGTGCCTTGACATGCAAGTGGAATTTGATACTCGTACTGTATGTCAAATCATCTTTTCTGTCGAATTGAAGGGAAAGCCATCAATTGCATCACAGCTCCCAAACTCCCCAAATTAATTTACAACTTGTGAAAAATAACCTTTGGTGTTCTTTTAGGGGGTTAAGAGATCATTTTGGGTTCAGAAAGACCCAGACGGTCTCTTCCAATCTCTTCCATTTGCCATCTTGAAGGGGCGTATTTCTCATTTAGATGCCATTTGTTAAAAAAAAAAAAAAAAGACTTTGCTCTGATTGGATCACTGTTCTTCTTCATTTGAGTGCAGCAAACAGCTGAAAGCTGACATGATGGAGCGGCCAGCACCTTCTCCAAGCACTTTTGCAAATCGCGAGGGCTTCTCAGAAGCCTTGAAAAGCTTCCACCGGCTGGGAAGGGCCTTGAGATTCATGTGTGCGTGTGTGTGTCTGCCTACGTGTGTATAAACAAATCCATATAGTGCGTGTGTGTGGGGGGGGTCTGTGTAGGTGTGTGTACTTATTTGTTTTGGTCTGTGTATGTACCTGTGTGTACATATTTGTTTTGGTCCGTGTATGTACCATGTATGTGCATGTTTGTCTGGGTTGGCGTGTGTGTGTGTGTGTGTGTGTGTGTGTGTGTGTGTGTATGTGTGTGTGTGTGTGTGTGTGTGAGAGAATGAAAAGACATGGTCCAAGTCACATGGTACCCATGGTGACATGTTCAGAAGTGTGGCTGAGATACGTGTGCGTGCGTGTGTGTGTGTGTGTGTGTGTGTGTGTGTGTGTGTGTGTGTGTGTGTGTGGGTGTGTGTGTGTGTGTGTGTGTGTGTGTGTCTGAGAGTGTGTGAGAGGCTGCGCCCGCGTTCTGGCAGGTGAGCTTGCAGCCTACGGGACTGTTGACTTTGGAATTCTGAGAATGTGGAGGTCAGTGCGCGTCGCTGGGATTAAACATGTTCACCGTGCTGGTGCATAGGTCGAAGGTCACAATGTCAAGGCTTAAAGAGAAGGTGTGTGTGTGTGTGTGTGCGTGTGTGTTTTTTTTCTGTCTGGATGTGTGCATGTGTACGTAAAAGCCTTACGTCGCAGCACAGACAGGTAGCTTGAGAGACGACTCTCACTGACATGTGCTGACACTTTCTGTGTGCTCGTGTTCGTGTGTGTGTGTGTGTGTGTGTGTGTGTGTGTGTGTGTGTGTGTGTGTGTGTATTGTGGAACGTGTTGGAACTAGTGCGACGTTGCGAAAGTTAACAAAGTGTGTGGCTAATCAGAGTTTCTCATACCTGCGTGTGAAATGTTAGCTGCCGTGCTAGCATGCTTAATGTGCGTTTTATTGATTAGCTGACATTGTGTTACCATCAATGCTAATGCTATATGTCGTTGACTCGTGCACAGGAACGTGTGTGTGTTTTGGGTGGGAATCTACTCGGTGAATGTTTTCAGCTGGCTGACACATTCCTTGCACGTGTGTGTGTGTGTGTGTGTGTGTGTGTGTGTGTGTGTGTGTGTGTGTGTGTGTGTGTGTGTGTGTGTGCGTGTGAGAGAGCGAGAGACAGATTAGCACACAAGGCCATTGTGTTGTTGTTTTTGTGACATGAAGTACGCATGTGACCTCTGAGCCGCTTTAAGTGCATTCGATAAATCAATGAAAGCACTTTTAGTCAAATGGTGCCAATCGATGAATTAGAATTTGATTGGGTCACCTTTAAATGTTTTGGCTGCTGGCAAGGTCAAAGTGGCTGCATTAGCGGTGACTCACGTGGTTGCCACATTTACCCCATAGTCTGGGGTCCTGGGTCGGAATCTGGTCATTAAGTTTTCTCAACAGCGTATCCCAAAACTGGACTCTTAAACATCCACCAGGAGGTTGATTCGTCGAGCTTCTCATTTCATTCGGTATGCGGAAGCCCCTTGAGCTTCAAGTGACCCTTTGCTAATGGTTCACATCGATAGTTGTGGCTTTAGAAACAACGGATAATTGAACGCAAATAGTGTCGGCACACATTGACACAAAATGGAACTAAACTCAAGTGTATATTGATCTGACATCAAGTGTCTGTTCTTCTTCATTTGTGTCTGCATGACTGCATTATAGTGCCTCCCTGTGGCCAAGGCAAGCAGCCACATCGGACCGAGCAGCACAATTAACTGGATTGCAGCATGAAATCATGATAGTGAATTATATGTTGTGCTTCTAAGTTTTTTTATAAAGTGCAAAACGGCTTTGTTTTTGTCACTCAATTGACAGGCGACCAGTCCAGCTTGACATGAATGGATGATGGACGGATGAATGTGTGATGAAGTTTGCCTCGTGTTTGTGTGGAGGAGCATGAGCAGGTTCTTGTTAACACACGAAACACGCTCACCCGCACACTGACACAATTGGATTTGATGATGTTATCAGGTGGCATGATTGTCAGTCATGGGTGGACACTGACAGGCTGTTGACTGCAACGGCGAGCTCGTTACAGCTAATTGAACACGCGCGCACACACATGCATTGATGAAGCACTTGTTGTCATGACTGCGGCATTCATGCTGAATTTGAGCAAGTGCGTGCGTGCATTGTCCGCTCTGTGAAAGGATTAGCATTTAGCATTAGCATTGAGCTGGACAGCAAACAGAAGAGTGAAGGGCATTCTTCGCTTCATCTGCACACGTTTGTGTGTGTCTGTTTGTGGACATGGGTGGATGGATGTGATTGCATGCGTGTGTACATTAGTGTGTTTTTGTCTGTGTGCGCATGGCTCTGTTTATGCTTTTGCGTGTGTGTGCGTGTGTGTCCATATTTTTTGTTTGTCAGACCTCGACCGAAGTTCAGCCGATCAATTCTACGGAAGCACGTTGTGTATTTTGCGCGCCTCTTCTCGGCAAACATTTGAGGCGTGTCTTCTCCCCCGTGAGGGGCGTGTCTTCTTGCCCGAGAGGCGTGTCTTCGATGAGGATGGGATCCAGAAAGATTTCATTCCTCACGCTTAACCTGCCACGCAGCAACCAAACTGCTTCCTCCTCTTCTCACTGCACAACAATCCTCTGTTCACCACTCCATTCCATTACACCAACAATTGCATCCCATGGAAGAGCT